TGGGCCCTGTGTCAGCTGTCCCCAGAGTAACCCCAAGACTACCTGGAGTTCTAACACTGTTCCCAGAGGGTCAACAGCTCCAGCAGCCCTGAGTCCCAAGTGTTTGCCAACCTCCTTTCTCCTAAACTATTTTGCCAGGGTCATGTTTGTTGTAATATTTACTATTTGCTTTAAATGAAGCTTCCCATCACATACATACACATATATATGAAGTGTATGTACAGTATGTGTGTGATGCATGTAAAATCTGTAACACATACTATATACAGCATGCACGGTGTCATTCCAGATACAACAATGAGGCTATGATTCTGGTATGTTATGCTTTCATTTTCTAATGCACATTAAGCTAAATACATAATTAGAAAAAAGTTCCTTCACCAAGTGAGTCATTGCACTTAATTTTCTCTTTCTCTTTCCCCTTCTCTCTTTCCTGCACACCGTGGAGACCCCAGAGCACACTGGACATGCGCTCCTCCGCTGGGCCACCCTGGCCCTCACTGCACTTGCCTTTGACGGCCATCTGCTGAGGTAGCAGGTGTGGCCTGTGGTTCTCTTCCTAGAGAAAGAGGCTTTGGGCCCAGGAGGTGTCAAGCCTACCTCTAGGCCACACCAACACAGTGAGAGAGCAGAAAGAGAAACCAGAACCTCTTATGTATTCCTGGCTTGGGGCACTGACAGATGGGGACAGCTGGGGCCATGTCAGGGTTTCCTGGTGGCACCACACCTGCAGAGCCACCAGCTTGCATGGAGTGTTGTTTTCCTTTCTCTCTTGAGTCATGAAGCTTACCTCTGTCCTAGTTAATCAGCAGTTACTTTGGGACACAGACACACAGACAGACACAGACAGAGACACACACACACACACACACACACACACACACACACACACACTCATAACACATACACTCCATACACACAAGCATGCATGTGCATGTACTTCTTGGCCAAAAGTAACAGAGAGTCCCAAAGAGCTCACAGATGTCGTGACCTGCAAGCTGCTAGGCCAAAGAAACAGTGCTCTCAAGCATCCACAGGGCTCTGGCTTGCACTCAGCCTCTGAGCACCCAGTGTCTCAGGGATGGAGGGGCAGACCTGGTGGTGGGCAGGGCAGATGAGACTTTGCCCTCCAGAGATGACTTCAACCGCTGGTCCTCTGCCAGTATATCCCTGGCCACCCTGACTTGTGGACAATCGTGCTCGCTCCCTCCAGCAACCCTGCCTACTGCTGTGCTTTATCCACCTGGGAACTTTTCCTAGTTCTAGATTTTGCTTTTCTGTTTATCTCTTCCTTCTCCAACAACAAAGGTGCCTGCTTTCATGAACCACTGTACCCTCGATACCTCTAATAATCTCTGATACCAACAGGACCCTCAGTGCACAGTTCTGGGAGGGATGGACATTGAGCAAATGAAATCACACCTATAATGCATGTGTGCACACATGCAAAATTTAATTATCTAAATATTCTCATTGGTGCTTTGGAGAATGACAGGGTACTCTGGGACAACTACTCTGAGGAAGCTGTGTTTAAACTGAATCCTAAAGTGAATGTTAGACTTGGAGAAAGATGGTCTTGGGGAAAAGGAGTGGCTTCATAGAGGAACAGCATGTGCAAAAGTTCTGAGGCAGGGAGGATGGTCATTACCTGGAGTGAAGTGAAAGAGAATGACAGTGGCAGGGGGTGTGGCAACAAAGTGGCTCCTGGATGGCCTAGGGGCCCAACCATGTGGATCTTACTCTAAAGAGCATAGGGATCTCCAGTGGGGATTTAAGCAAAGAGAAATTAATTGGATTTAGAGTTCAGAAGAATCACTTTTCTGCTAGGTAGAGGGGGGCCAGGGGTCACTACTGGAAGACCAAATAGGAGGTTTCTCTAGTTTTCAGGTGGGAGATGGTGGCCTAGATGAGGCTGGGGGCAGCAGTGTGAAGGCCAGTGTGGACAGGGTAGGGTGTGGTGGTTCAGAGGCCATAAGCCCTGCTCATGTGCCTGACGTTGCTTGGGGACAGAGGCTATCCACTTTTCCTTGGGAATGGCCAAACAGTAAATACTGGGGGTCTTGTAGGCATGTGGAGAGAGTCAGCAAAGCAGGCTGATGTCCAGCACCCACGGCTGGCCCTCAGCTGGGGTCTGGGATCACAGCTTCCAAGATGCTTCTAGGCTGCTGAGTGCTACAGTTGTTTGGGTGCCCGAAACACCGAATTTCACTTGGACTAAGACCCAGACCCTATGCACCAGCAGAATGACTCATACGCACACAGGACTCCCCAGGGCTGTGATGATCACGTACACAGACCAGTTCTCTGTGTGCTCAACAAACACCCTATTGGTACCTGGGTCTGAGTGCTGGGCAGAGAACCTGAGCCTGGGGCTGCATTTCCAGGATGGGCAAAGGAGCGTGGGCAGGGCATTCCCACAAGCGAGAGGGGAGGGTGGGGGAGCCGGAGCCTGGATACCTGTGAACTCTGCCCAAAGGGTCCTCCTCTTGGTGAAGACAGAAGAAATTACACCAGGACCATCACTGCTTCTGAGTCCCGAGTTCTTCTGGGAAATCACTGGAGGTGTGGGTGGTTTTGGGACCCCAACACAGGGGTCCGGCAAGTACTCAGTGGCCATACAGACAACCCCGAGGCTGTGTTCTACTGCAACTTGATTAATGACAACAGTAGAGGGCCTGGCTTTGGACCACAGGCAGAGCCATGAAGTTACACGCATACAGAACCTAGGGCTCTCTGAACCTACTTTGAGAACCATGGGCTGAGTCCAACACTTTCAAGTCATAAGTAGACCAGAAAGAGAAAGAGAAGAAATGTGTCCAAGGCCGGATCAGCAGCAGAAGCAGGACCTATGTCTCAGCCCCCACTCAATGTGTTGTCTGCGGCAGTGGGCACTGGCCTGGCAGCCAGGCCTGAGAGGAAGGAGTACATGGGCAGGGGAGCCACGCAGCGAGCAGCCAGCTTTGCTGCCACTTCTCTCCATGTGAGGGGAGACAGGGCTCTAACACAGTGAGTGCCAATCACCTTATCCTAGCCTTCTGAGATCACCAGTCACCTCTGAAGTTTCTTAATATCAGATGCCAGGGGCTCGGGAGGTAGCTCAGAGTCTGGGGCTGCATACCACATGCAATGCCCTGAGCTCCATCCTCAGTGCAGGGGGAAAAAAAAAAAGAAAGAAAAGAAAAAAGATGCTGATGTGCTATCTCAGCATCTCTGAAACACCATCCCCAAGGCTGGGGCCCAGAATCTTCACTTTAACAATTCCTGGGTCTTTTGATGAGCCCCCAGGTTTGGAAATGGGGAATTTTAGGACTTCCTGATGGATGACCTCAAGAATCAAGGAAAAGAAGCCCATGAGTAGAGGAGAGAAGAGGAAATCTGTCTGGAATCAAGGAATGAATTGCAGACACAAACAGTGCTTCGGGGAACACACTTTCCAAAGACGCTGCTTCAACTGAGCCTCGGCCACTGCAGCTCGGCATGGCCAGCAGTCAGGAGCTCATTTCCTTCTTCCCAGGGATCCTGCCTATGATGCAGGATGTGGTGCAGGTGTCCACAGTGCCCTGAGCTATGAAGCACAGCTGACAGGGACAAAAACGAGCCATTTCCACCCCACTGTTCTTCGCTTTCACTGTAATGAGGTACAAGCGCGCTGTGCTAACTAGCACCTCACAAGTGTTTCCACCCAGGCTTCCAAAACCAGATGGCCGAAAGCCACAGGCATCAGATTTCTTGAAAACTTCACATTCTAATTGAAAATTACAGGCAGAGTCCACAAGACCTATGCTTGCTTGTTTTCATAGACAAACAGAGGTTTCCTCGCCACTCCAACATCTCTTGAGTGCCTTATTCTGCACCTAAGAGCCTTTTGGTGATTCACATACATGGGACCCACCCCCAGCGGGGTTCATGTGAACTGATCTGGGCTGTGCTCTGCGACTCAGATTTTCAAAAGCTCCCCAGATAGATACTCCTGACAGTGGCAGGCGAAGGCTGGCTGAAGCCATATTTTCACTCGGCACATCACCATGTGCCCACCCAGAGAAGGTTGGGCACAAACACTGCTCACTACACAGGACCCCGAGTGCCTGACCACAGATGGCCAATGGGTGAGCCTGTCTCTCCAGTCTGTGTTCTCTGAGCTGCCCTCACAAAGAGAACCGACACCACCAAGTTCCACTCACTGACACTAATAGGTCTGTGGCAGTGGGAAGGAAAAAAAATGTTTGTGATTCTACCTGACCCTACCTGAAGTACAGCATTTGCTTCTGTGAGGAGTTCAAGCATAGGCAACAGAATACAGCATTGTTAGCAGCAGACATTCCAGACCCTCTCCTAGCACTGCACAGTTGTCTTCAAATAGCATTTATGCTCTGCAGTGCTTTGAAATCACGGAACAGACTGAGCCTCCCTTATCCAAAAGTCCAAAATGCTTCCAAATCTGAAACTTCTCAGCACTGACTGTCACTGCAAGGGGGGAGCCCCACACCATGAAACTTTGCTTTGTGAGTAAAACTATTAACATTGTTCTATAAAATTACCTTCAGGCTGTGTGAAAGGTGTATGTGAAAGAAGTGAATTCCATTTTTAGATGTGAGTCCCACCTGCAACATATCTCATTATGTTTGTACAAAATATTTCAAAATAAAAAAAATAATCCCAAATTCAAAATATTTCTTGGCACAAGCATTTTGGAAAAGGAATATTCACTTAAAGTTACCAGATCTGTGGTTGGATCTTGCTATTTAAGAAACTGATAAAGAAGTACATACATTACCATGTTACATCTTTGCCTTTTAAAACCATTTCTTTAGTTGCATTCTAATATATTTGATTTCATACATGTTTAATTGGTGTATTTAAAATTATTATCCTGAGAAGGAGTCCCCAGGCTTCCAGCTGTATAACTGGCTGTGAGTCTCTGTGGCTGGTGGCCCACTTTGCGGAGAGGTCCCCCACAGTGGTCGATGGCCAATGCTGTGTGTGGAGCAAGCAGCTCTTACCTGTGGGTCAGAGAGCCGGGAGATATCAGGGTACAGGTAGAACTTGATGCCTTCAGCGGCCCCAGGCAATGTGACCCCTCGGATCAGGAGGATGAGGAGCATGACATAGGGGAAGGTCGCGGTGACATACACAACCTGCCCAAAAGAGAGGAGGACAGAATCAGGAGAGGTGCCAGTGACAGGCTCATTTCATGTAGCATGACATCCTCGAGTCCATTCGCACTGCGGCTCATCACAGGTTGTCCTCTTGGAAGGCTGAGTAGTGTATCACTGTCTGGTCACACAACACTGTTCTTATTCATATAGCTGTGCCCCAGCCTCAGAGAGACACAGCATCCAGGGAGGACTGGCGTCCATAGACATGCAAATGCCTCATGTAGAATAACTAGCACCTACACACATCCTCTGGTCTACTTTAAATCGACACAGGATACCTAACACAATGTGAACACCCCTATGTAAATAGTCATAGATCATACTGCTTAGGGCATATAACAGAGAAAGAGGTCTACATGTTTGGTACAGAGGCAAATCTTTCTTTCCAAGGTTAGTTGAATTCATAGATGCTGTTATGGTTTACATCCCCCAAAGCCACGTGCACTCCCTGGTGGGGCTTTGGGGAGGTGACTGGATCATGGAGGCATGGAAACCATCAGAGAGTTAGTCCTTTGCTGAGGTCATGGCTGAATGTGATGTTGGGAGGTGAAGCCTGGAGGAAGGAGGTAGTCACTGGGGACGTGGCTTGGAAGAACTCATTTCCCTCCTTCTTGCTCTCTCTCTGTTTCTCATCTTTTTGCCCTCTGCAGTGACGCCATGATGTCCCGCTTGGAGCTGGCTGAGTATGGATGAAACCTCTACAAACTGTGATCCCAAATCAGCTTCTCCTTCTTAGAGTTGTGGATGCTGGTATTATGTCTCAGCAATGACAAAATAACTAAGACAGACACTGAACCTGTGGATACAGATGGCCATCTGTACTCCCCGATCCCACTTAAATCAGGCACCTAATGTAGTGGATTCACATGATCAAAGCATGACGTGGAGGCTAAAGGGAGGTAGGCACTGACCAGTGGGCCCAAAGTGAGCTCCAGAGATCTGCTGTGCACCGGGGTGGATGGTCACACAGAGCACACTGGGAGCCATGCCAGGGGCTATACTTCATGTCGAAGTTCTCACCTCACCACCATAAAATAGAATTTTAAACAGTGGGGGAGCCCACAGACAGCAAAGGGCAGCACAAAGACAGGACTCCAACACTCTTGCCTTGTCTACCATCAGGGCTAGGCTGGAGCTGGTGGGGCGTTTACAAGGGCCCCTCCCATCTCCACCACATAACCGTCAAATGTTTATGACCATGGTCACAGGAGACATCTGTCACAACCCAGTACAGGTAGAGCCGGAAAGGAAGCTTCATGAAATCACTGACTCGTGTGCTACAGGCTGATACCACCTCTCATGCTGTTTCATTGGTAACAAGCTGGTCATGATCCTCTAAATCCATTTTATAACTTACCGAAAGACCAAGACCCACATCTCTGAAAAATACAGCTCTTAATACAAAATCAAGGTTTTATAAGCAAAGATAGGATAGGATAGGATAGAAGTGAAGGGAGAGAAGGGAAAAGGAGGGGAGGGAAGAAAATTAGCATTCTCCTGAAATCATTTCGCTTGGTGCTTTGACCCAAGGCGAGTGGGGAGCCTTTCAGCTGGCAGCTTTGGGGTAAGAACTGAGACTCTGAAACATCTCTTCCCCTTGCCTAGGGGAGCCACCCCTTGGCCATGCCTTCCTCTCCATATCATCCAAGGTCTTGCCAGGGCTGATTTCTCCTTCAATTTCTCCTCTATTTTCTCCCAATCACTCAGTTCTATCTCTGGGTGGGTCCTGCTTGCTTCTGTTAGAACATCAGCTTGTAAACATGCAGAGATAGGGACCCTCCTGTGACTTGGAAAGAGCTCTGGAATTTCCCCCAAACACAAAGAGACAGGTACGGGCTTCCTGAGGGGCCCCACTCAGGTTCCCCAGGTGAACACTTGTATGACAAGACCACCATCTCTAGTTCATCCAGCACTTCAGTGGTGGCACAGTCCTTTCCACTCACCCATTCACTCATTCACTCCGCCTCTCATCCACCTATCACATACTTGCTCCAATGCCAGAGACACTCCTGTGTGCTGAAGACTAAGCTATGTCTTGGAATATATAAGTAAGGATGAATCACAGGACACGAATTTCTGTTCCAAGAGGCTTAAAGCTGGTAGAAAGGACAGATATGTAGACAGGCAGACAATGAACTGTGTCATCAGAGGTATGAAAAAGTGCTGGAGTACAGGTAGGAAGCAATCAGGGAGGGACATCCAAGGTGACCTGGTATTGGCCTATAAAGGATGGCCAGGAGTTCAGGACCTGCAAAATAGGAATGGAAGGAAGAGGGAACAAAGTTCCTGCTATCTGCGAGGCCCACATCATGTGCAAATAATAATAATGGCTACATTTATCAGCACTTCACCAGTCCAAGTGGTTCTTCTGCTTATACATGAGAAAGGTCAGAGAGCTCACCAGCCACTTGTTCAAGGTCATCCAGATACTCACAGGTTGTCTCTAGTCATGTATTCAGATCTCAGGCTATGTATGTACCTCTTACACAGTCATCCAAAGTGAAGCAAGGGAAGATTTATTTCTTACAGTTTAGAGGTTTCAGTCCTTGGCTTCAAGGCAGGATGGCATGGTGGGGCGGCTATTTATGGCCACCACAAACAACAAGCACAAACAGCCCCAAAAAGGAAAGACACACCTTCTTCCCACTCTTATACTGGGTGGGTGCAGCACTCATACCACCAATGCTAGCACCAGACAACAAACCAATCACAAATGCCAGACTCAGCAGTGTCCATGAATGTGTAAGGCTTGAGGGAGCCATGTGAACCAAACCATAACATTCCACCCCTGGTGTGTACCTCCTTTATACAAAAGACATTTAGTCCATCTCCAAGAGTTGCCAAAGTCCTGTTTTACTATTGCTGAAAAGTCCAACTCCCAAGTCTCCTGCAAGATCTAAGGCAAAACCTTAGTAACAAGCTCCTGTACAAGAGAAAACAAAGTTAAACACTTGCAACATATAATGGCAATAAACATTACCATTCCAAAAGTTACACACGGGGAATGCAAAGCATTGGAACTAAAGCAAGAGCAAAATCCACTAGAGTAAACATTAAGTCCTGGAGTTCCACATTCAGCGTCCGAAGCAGTCTGGCTGCAAGCTCCAGTAGGCTTGAGTGATTCTGCCTCCATGGCACTTGCAGGGGTTTCATTTCCCACAGCTTCTCTCTTAAGCCCCCCTGCTCAGTCTTTGCAGCTTTCCTTAGATGATCCATGTTCCTGGCTTTTCCAAACTTCTGGTGTCTCCACTGTACCTCTGGCTTCACACTCAGAGCTTCACCTACTACCCTCTCAGAGGCACACTGCTTGACCTCCCATGCCTTCTGAAATTGGTGTGGAAACTGCCTTAATGTCAACTGTGCATTCTCCATTCATCTAAAACCAGCACCATGTGGATGCTGCCAAGGTCTGCTGCCAGCTGGAGCGGTAGCCAGACTTTTCTCTCTCTTGGCTGTGGAGGTCGAGTGCTGGGATCGCTAAGCATGCTCAACCTGATTGTGAGAAACAGCTTCTCTATGCCAGCGCCATTTTGGAACCTCCTGCGGCCTCCACCACCACTCTGGAACACAGCGCTCTGCTCTGTTCCTCTGAACAAAGTCTTTCACTTTTGCAGTTTTGAGGTTGCAAAGGGTAAAGACCCACTGCTTCCTGGGACATCTCCAGGCCATCTTTTTTATTTTTCTGTACCTTCTCAGCAATTAAGGTCTGAGCTCTATCTTCACACTCCAGAGCTTTACTGGAGCTTTTCTTTTGGCCAAACCTACAACATTTTAAATCATCCTGCTGGGCTCTCTGCTTTTGATTCACAACATAAATCTGACTAAAAGCCCCCAGCAGTTGTCATGCCCCAGCCTCAACATTTGACTGCCTTGAAATTTCTTCTGCCAGATTAATCAATTCACTGCCCTTAATCTTACTCTCAGGTGAAATCTCTGGACATGAGAAAAATGCAGCCAAACTTGCTGCCAAGCCATAACATGCATCATCTGGAGTCCAACAACCAATGCAGTCCTTCTTCCCAGCAGAAACCTTGCATGCCTGGTCTTTACTGGCAGGCTTTGATCAGCCGCCTTCACCTGTGAGCTCTGACCAGAATCTCCTATGCAGAACAGCCTAAGGTGTTCTAGCTCTATATATTCAGGTGACATATCCAAAACTTTCCAAACTCTTTTCACAAGCAATTTCCAAAGGCTCTTGAACCACATAGTCAGGTACAGCCATGGCAACAATCCCACTGATACCAAATTCTGAATTGGTTACTTTTCTCTCACTGCTAGGACAAAAAAGCTGACACCCAAAATGAAAGAAGGAAGGGTTTATTTAGGTCACTGTTTGTTCAGGTTTCAGTCCATAGTCAGCTGGCTCCAAGGTGGATGGTGTGGTGGGGCAACCATTCATGGCCACCACAAACAGCAAGTGCAAACAGTGCAAAAGAGGAAAGACATGCCTTCTTCCTGCCCTTATACTGTATGTTGGCTCTGCCCCTAGTGGGTGTAACACTCACACCACCAATCCTAGAGCCAGACAACAAACCAATCACGGATGCCAGACTCCGCTGCTTCCATGATTGCATGAGGCTTGGGGGAGCCATTCGAACACAAACCAGTTCCAATGTCAGTCTCAATGTCAGGAAAGTGACTCAGACAAGACATGACAAGGCAGAGATTTATATCCAGATCTCAAAAAATAGGAAATCAGCATTAGCAGAGAGTTATGATAATGGGTCCTATGGGCACAACCTGGAGAGCTGGATTATTTTATCCAGAATCCATCCCTAATCTACAACAATGGAACCCACTCCAGCTCACTCAGCTTCAAACCCGCCAATCCTGCCTCCCTGTTTCCAAATCCACCATCAGCTCAATTTAAGCATCACACAATCAACACGCTCTCTTGCTGTCATATATAATGTCATGTATAATCCAGAAAAGGTGCACACAAGTCAAACAAACAAGGCCAGAAGTTGATATTAATGATT